CATTAGCACCTCTAGTAATATATTTACTGAGAAAAATGGTGACGTGTTCAATACTTATTTTACCCGCTGTATTTCTCGCTCCATTTGGAGAATTTTTCACTTAATTTGAGTAACATTTCCTGGCTAAAAAGATAAATAATCTTACATGTTCTGATAACAAGATTGTTAATCTTACACATTCTGTTCTTTTTTAGTAAATCAGTCTCAAAAAAGATCAAAAAGACTTTTTGACTGGATAAAATATTTTAAAACCTGGTTAGATGGACAGTTTTTGCAGTGTATGACCATTACGTCTTTGCTTGTTCTTCAAGAAATTATAAATCTAATTTAAAATGTATGCACAGTGACTGTTTGAGGCTTAATTTTCAGTCTATTTATTTTGTAAATGTTCAGCACTTTGTCTGAAAGCGCTTTTTAAATAAAGTTATTGTTATTTATGTCTCCCTTTCATTAACTTGGTGATCAGGGAGTGACAGACACAGATATGTGGTTACCATCGTGGCAATAATGAACTGGAAACAGCTTTAACATCTCTTCTGATCTTGGCTCTTTTCTTATACAACCTACTCACCAAAATTTTTTCTTAGTTTAAATTATTACAGCGTCATGTTGGGCTGCAGTTGCGTAGGCGTCAGGCAAAAATCTTCAGGAGTTTTTTTGTTTTAGTTGTCATTAAAAACTAGCAAATGTCTCATATCTAATTAAAAAAGAAAAATGATGAAGAGATGAACGTAAAGAGCTTTCTACATTCTGTACATACAAAACATGTTATTACTCCAAATCACAGAGGACGTCTCAGCTCACTTTACATTGCAAGGAATGTTTTTTTTTTCTTCTTCTTTTTAGTTTGCAGTGCTTTGGTGGTTAAGGGTGGTACAAAACCACACCACAGAGCAGAGCAGGATTTTCAGTGGCTCTCCAGAGATTGGTGGAATTGTTTCATTTGACAGTGGCCTGACAGGCCACGACCAGGGCGTGTGTGCCTGCATTCATGCTGCTGTCATTTTTTTTTTATTTTTTTTATTTTTTTGCAAAGTCCAAGGCATTTTCTGGGAGTTCTGTGTGAGAGAAATGATGGCGCGTTGTCAGACGACGCTCCACCCAGGGGCTCCCAACGGAATCGCTTATAGGATTCCTGTCTGTGGGAGGGAAGTAGCTACAGCCAGAGCAATGTGGCCGAAATAGTTTCAGTCCACTCGCATCATAAATGGATGACTGATTCATMGCTTTGTGTACCTCTGATCTGGTTTTGTTTGGGTTTTGTTGTAGTTTTAAGCATCTAATCCAGATGAGATTATTTCACTTTATTTGCACATTTTAAGACGATACTTTCACGTCATGCAGCTGCATTGTGAACCTGAGGTACTTTTAATCTGTTATTTTTAAACACCCAGCTGTGATGTTCTATTCTTGTAAAATAAACTTTAAATCTCATKATTTTCCTGGTTAAACAAASAGGTATGTGTTAGCGAACAGTAGTCATTAATAAGAAAATGGACGTACAGTTACTTGTAACATAAAATTGGCTCATTAGGAATACTTTGATCACCCTGAAACTGGCCTTAATTGTGWTGCTTTTATAAGCTGTTGTTGCTGATGCTACTATAAATGACACTGAATTAGTTTTAATAAATGTAATCAGCAATTTTCCATTTGCTTTCTCTGTTCTTGATTAAAAAGAAATACAGTTGCTTCATTTCAAAAATATAATTCATGGTTAGCCTCTTTGATTTTCGTTTTTATTAATTTACTTTTTTATTTATTTATTTATTTTTTTTGGTRCGGGAATTTGCTCTGAATAAAACACAGSCCGAGTTTTACCAATGAAAAATAAACTTTGTGCTTCACTGGGACATCAATATGCAAACTTGTGTCTGCGAACCTGTGCAGGTAAAGCTAACGTGAACGTCCAGTGGGATGAGGATTCRGCGGAGAACTTTCCAACCAAACCAGTGAGGATAGCGTTTGTCCTTGTGATTCATGGACGAGCCTCCCGCCAGTTCCAGCGCCTCTTCAAAGCCATCTACCACACCTCCCACTACTACTACATACACGTCGACCAGGTGAGACTCGAACTGCCGGCCYAATTAAATCTCTTGATATCAGCTGGATTGTTAATCAGTGCCGGATCTTTCTTTTTTTTRCAGCGCTCTAACTTCCTGCACAGGCAGGTGCAGGTCTTGGCTTCCCACTACCCCAATGTGAGGGTGACCCCCTGGCGCATGGCCACCATCTGGGGCGGAGCCAGTTTGCTGACCATGTATCTGCGCAGCATGGCTGACTTGCTGGCCATGAGGGACTGGAACTGGGACTTCTTCATCAATCTCAGCGCCGCAGACTACCCAATCAGGTGACAGAGGATGACCTCGTGTTTCAGTAAAGGGTAGACGGGTAGAGTCTTAAAGGGAGGACAGCTGTGCGAGTTCTTTAAGAAGCAGTCAATAAAAATCCGAAATCTTTACCCAGAACATGGTTTTCCTTACAGGAATGCTGCAAGTACAATACTGTCCTGTTCTCGGCCGATACAGGAGAAATTCGATACACACCAGTCTGAGCTCCTGTGGTTAACTGTGAGCTTTAAATACAGTCGAGCCAAACAGATCAATGATGTAGAACCTCTGCTTTCTCAAACACTATTCATTCAAACGCTTCTTCCCAGCGCCTGTTTCCTTGTGTACACCACATTGAATAGGTTACATGTCGAACTGATTGCAATTTAATTGCCTAAGGTCAATGCCTATTGACTCTCCAGGCCAGTTGTGAACCGTATGGACAAAAGCCATCCTTGCATTCAAAACCGTCCCACTTAGGAGACTGTAAAATGTAATTAAAAGCTGCAAAGTCCACATGAACAAGACGTGAAGTCATGGAAATAGCCTATTGGAGGCAAAACTAGTATGAGTTTATGGTCCTTCTGGGAGTTGAGGGTCTGCTGGGTTTTTGATGTAGCTCTGCAGCAGCCAATTAAAATCTGCCTATTAAAGAGAGAGTTATCTCCTCTGCACAGCCAGATGTCCACCAGTTGAGTTTAGACAAGCTGTAACGGCCACTGGGTGAAAAGGATCTGATGGCTCCACAGCTGGAGCGAAGACGCGGGGGTAAATGRGGACGTGGTTCGTCGTGGTGCCTTCCTCCTTGRGTTTGTCATTTTTACCCTAACAATGAATGATACATAGTCACACGGCTGCCTCTGTTTTTGCACGGCTGCTGTGCACATGCCCAAGTTTGTGTCTCGCAGACGGGATAGCTCAGCGCGTCTCAGCACCTGCTGATGTAAACCCGTGCATATTTATCATGTCTAAATGCCTGTTAGGCTGTCTTTGTGTCTGATTAAAGGTATCTGCGAGTGTGTGTGGACCGAGACGCTGTTTTCTTCCCATCTTTTGCCTCCTCATTTGCATGGGGGTGATGTTGTTGAGAAAAGGGCTGACAGTGGAGGTTTTAAGCCCCGTCTGTTGGGAAACGAAACGATTGATGGAGCAAAAGAGGGAGCCGAGAGGCAGAAATGACAGGGAGAGCCGGAGGAGAACGAATAAGCAGTTAGAGAGGGGAAATGAGAGGGAACTGCGTGTTTTGGATCTGTGCAGTATAAAAATATGGAAATTGCACTCTTGTATCTTTGCTTAGCAAGTGCATTTCCAACCACAGCCTGGATTTAACAGAGCCTGCGAAGTGTGTTTAAAAGAGTTGAACTTGCAAATTTGGTCTTTTTAAAAAGTCAGGTCTGGGTTCAGGCCCCTGCGAGCGCCAGCAACAGTGTTGTTAAAGTGTCCTCACTCAAACATTAACCAGACTTTTTTTAATCTGACAACTCTTTCCCATCTTTAAGAATGAGATCTGGCAACAAATAATCCCTTTTACACTGCAAAAAATGTCCACCAAACCAAGTTTTAAAACCTTATATCAGCCAAAAAGTCTTTTTGATCTTGTTTTGACAGATTTACTAAACAAGAACTGATTGTGTAAGAATAATAATCTTGTTTTCAGAATGTGTAAGATTATTTGTCTTGTTAGTCTGAAAATTTGACTCAAATTAAGTCAAAAATTTCTGCCAATAAAGTAAGAAAATTTAACTTGGTAAGAATCCTGAAATACTTGATTTGGCTCAATTTTTTCTTTTTTCAAGAATCTTACCAAGTAAAATTTTCTTAATCCATTGGCAGAAATTTTTGACTTAATTTGAGTCAAATTTTCAGATAACAAGACAAATAATCTGACACATTCTGAAAACAAGATTATTATTCTTACACAATCAGTTCTTGTTCATTAAATCTGCCTCAAAGCAAGATCAAAAAGACTTTTTGGCTGGATATAAGGTTTTAAAACTTGGTTAGGTGGACAGTTTTTGCAGTGTATTTAAGACTAAACACATCAACGCATTTGTTTTGGGTTAAACGGAAGCCTCGGGCCCGGCTGCAGACACACAACCAGCAGTGATAAGTTTATTAAAAGACTTTTTGACACGTCAACTGCTGGAGTTTGGGATCAAACTGGCATCTTCAAGAGCTCTGCTTAATAACCTCATCCTGATGAACGAACAACCGCCCGACAACCTGTCCTGTTCTATAAATTTACACTGGTTTTGTACACAGAATAGCCCATCGTTGTAAATGTCCTGCGTCGTTGCAGACAGGAATGTGGGGGGCTCCCCTGCTCCYGAATGCCCGAGTATTTCTGTTGTTATCAGTGGAATAGGAGACAAGCATTATTTCCCCTCTAATTCCCTGATAATGTCCGCCCTGCCGCATGGATGGCTGTCAATGGCAGCCCCAGAGCCCCTCGCACCAGCAGAGGTCCACAGGGAGATATATCYTGTGTTTGTGTCGGTCCGAAGAGGCCAGAGGATGAGTTACACACTTTCTTTGTCAGCAAGCCCACCCCTCTCTCTCAGCTTTATCTATAGTCACCTTGCATTTTAGCTCTTTTTAAAAGCCCCTTTCATTGTGTTTAAGTTTCACTTTTCATTATCTTCTTGACTTATCAATGTCACCTATTATTTGTGTTTAAAAGTACCAAAATGGTGTTTGTGGAAAGGTTATGAATAATTATTGCCTTGCATGTGCTAAAAAGCTCTTTATATGACCTCAGCTTGGAAGAATAGTGTTTATATCCGGACCAAATTGTGGAGGTAGAGGCAAATCTGAGTGCTGCCAACATCTAAGGCATTGCCCACATAAAACCTTTTTCTTTCTGTTTATTGTTCTTAAAAGAAAACAAATCTATTTAAATATCATTGTTTCCAAAAATGTCTTTTTCCACATGAATATGAAGAAAAAAGACCCAAAAACGCAGTAGAAAAACCTGCATGTGGTGCCGTAAAGCTGCCATAACAATACACAAAAACAGGAGACAAGTTCTTCTTACAAACCATATTTTATAATTATTTTATCTGCTAAAAGTGTTGTGATTTTCCTACCAGAGGTGTTGCGAGCTACAATTAGTTTTTTGCTACTGCTCTGTGCTTGCAAACAAACACAGGATTTCATACAAAATATCAAATAAGAAAAAAAAAACTGACAGTGGTCTAAAAGTTGATAAAATAGATTTTTTATGAACACTGACTTTTAGCTTCAATTGGACCAGCTGTTATATCATCAATTTAGTCAGAAATGAACTATTTTACAATTCAAAAGAGTTGCTTTAACTTTATCCTTAAAGTGATGTTAGACTGAGTTCACTTCTCTAAAAAAGGTCAACCTTTAGGAGTAAATAGCAAATGAAATGAAAAGTCTAGAACAATTGTGTGTGTGCGTGCGGGTAGGTATTCCCTACGTCGTGGGACAGTTTTTTTTTTGGCATACACACCTACCTGTGGGGATCTAAGTCAACTTATGGGGACCTGAGTCTAGTCCTCATGAGGGGAAATGCCGTTGGAAGTTAAGTTTAGGGCTAAGGTATGATTTGAATTTAGGTTAGTTTTGGGGTCAGCTACGTACCTGTGTGGTTAGCTTTAGGGTTGGTTAGGCTGTAGAAATTAATGGAAGTCAATGCCAGGTCCTCATAAAGATAGTTGCAGCTGACTGTGTGTGTGTGTGTGAGCACCAGTGACTACAGGGCTGACAGTAAGCAAACTGCACCCAGTGGACAGGGTGACCACTCAGGTGGCAAATCTGGAGCTTGACATGAATTCCCCCGGTTTAGTGTCTGTGTGTGCGCATGTGTGTGTGCGCGCGCGCGCGTGTGTGTGTGTGTGTGTGTGTGTGTGTGTGTGTGTGT